ATAATAAATTGTCCATCTTTATTGAAACATCCTATATAATTGCGAAGAATGATAGTAAGGGCAAGTTAGTTCAAACTTGCCTTTGCTATCATCGTATTTGTATTTATCTTGAGTTTTCTCAGAAATTATAATTGCGTAGTTGGACGATGCGTCGCAATAACGTCGCGATGTACATCACAATATAAATCCCTTCTAAAAACAATTCTTCGAAGGACAGCACAATATTATCTCTTCGAACCAAAGATAAAGCCGAAGTGGAAAATTTTCTGTATCTAACGCTTCAACGTAGATCATCGTCAAAAATTAACTGGCTCCCGACCAATTATATCGATCGATAATATATGACGATAAATTCTAATGCGTTTTTGATAAAAGATAATATTATTTTAATAAGATAATATTATTTTAATTTAATAAGATAATTTTAGGATAGTATTATTTTAATTTTAAAAAGTAAGCACACAATTAATTTCTGTTGCAGACTGGACATCTACATTAGCGAGCGTGGACTACAAGGATCCTTAAAACTTCGTAAGTATAACTGATACATTTTTGTCATTTCAAAAGATAGGAAGCTAATAAGGGATGTCCTTATTTTTCTAATTATTTTCCATGTTATAGTGTCTGCTATTAAAAACTGATCTTGTATATATTCTCAGTACACTTGACTTTCAATCGACACCGCTAACTACCCATTTACTTCTACGAGTCTTTGTCGATGTCCAATTAGGACGAACGCAGACTCATTTTCGATACATCTAGTAACAATAGTCCGTAAACGTAGTCTCCATCGAGTCCAATGGTCTGTTCTTTTCAGCTGCACTGTTAAATTGGTGCAGTAAGTTAAAGTGAGACAAGTATATTTTTTCTCACTTTAACTTATTGCAACAGTTCAGCAGTGCAGCTGAAAAGAACAGACCACAAAACATGAAGAGGGCGTATTCATCACGAATACACGACCGCTCACTTTCGGCGCTATCGATGACGATAATTTGATGCATGAAACTCAAACTTTTTCAACGAGTCAAAATGGTGAAAAGTTTGGAGCGCCCTCCCAAGCCGAAACGACACCCAATGGCCCGTGACTTAATTGATTATGTTAGACCCGGTTGCACCAAGTAGTAAGCTAACTACCAGTTAAAACAGTATTTGACTTTGTTTACGTTGAAGGAAAAACCAAGACAGACATATCACTATTAGTTATTATTTGGTTGATGCAATAGGCTCTTAATGACATAGAGAGAGATGGCAATCCTCGAAGTATATTAATATACGCGACACTTCACTCAATATTTCCGACCATCTAGACACCTTTGTTCCGTGAGGTATACACTTTAGCGGTTTTTACATTATTTTGCTACGATAAAAATGTATTAGATTTACTTTCGACATGCTTGGCAACGATAATTCATAGAGGTGACTCTTTCGATGAGTTCAACACGTAACCAACCAGAAAGATGTAAGTTCCACTGCGATGACAAGTTCGCTGTTTCGTGACCGGATCTTACGTCACTTGACGTAGTTCGGCGATGGCTCAAGTCATGATCGGTCTATATTTGTAGCGTCATTTTACACGTCGGAAGTACATTCCGCGCGCAAACGAGCGCTGGAAGCGTTATATCAAGCGATTGCATTATCTACACATATGATAACTATAGAATTCCAGTTCTAGAGGTACATATTTGTGTGTGTGTGTGTTAGTGTGTAGTATTATCACGTATTATATACATATGCTTAAAACACATACGTGATTAAGACAGACGATTCCGCCATTTCGCATCGCCAAAATCATCTTCATGATTTTCATTTATTTTGAATATAAACTTATACAGGGTGAATATAAACTTATACATATCTCAATGGTCTGTACAAACTTTAGGAATAAGTTACAGGGACCTAAATAAGCAGAAAATGTTCCATAAACATGGAGTCAGAAACGCTTGTTTCTGAAATTACAAATCGTTACGACGGTTCGAAGTTTTCCTGCAATGACTAGAGGAATTATCACATCAAATCGCATAGAAGTTTCAATTGTTTATTTATTTCCTCGGTTTTGTCACGGACTTATAGCAAGTGTGCTGTCCTTTTATGTCATGTTATGCCATTGCAGAACTTTTGTTATGCCATTGTCAAATTATTGTAACTTCAGAAACAAGCACTTCCGACTCTATGTTTATGGGACATTTTCTGCTTATTTAGGTCCCTGTAACTTATTTCTAGAGTTTATACAGACTATTTAGATACATCCTGTATAACATATACTGCGCTTTCTTATGACAGATTTAAAGACAAAATTTGAAGAACAGCTATATGTATTTTTCTTCTATTGTCCACAATTTTCCCATCAAAACCCTGCAAGTCAAGATCCGATAATACTCGATCCGGCTCGATCCATTATCAAATATAACGTAGCTCAATCTGTATTCGCTTTGGTAAAGTCAGACCCGAGCCTGTTTGTTGACAAACGATCCGTTTCAGTCGCGCTCTGAGTTTACCAAAGTGGATACAAAACCACCCAGATAGCACAGAGAGTTCAAAAAGAATTAAAAAAAATGCAGTCGTATGTCACCAATTCTGAGTTTATTTTCAGATGCAAAAAGAATTCTTCAGAGTTCAGTTCAGTGAAAAGAAGTGCATTTATTATCACACATAATCTGCCCAGATAGCAGGTTATATTTGATAATAAATGGAGTCAGATTGGACACTATCAAGCCTTGATTTGCAAAATTTTACATACCATCTTTATTTAGTTCGACTCCTATTGAAAAAAATCTAGACGAAGTGTCCAAGGATTCAAACTAGAAGATGTGTTAGGAGAATACTTGGATCTAACAGGACATCTTTTTCCGGTCAACTCTTCGCAGCCTCTTGTCAACGTTCAGTCTATATATATAAATCTATACCGAGAAAAAAATGTTTAGTATTTGTAACTATAATTGCATAGATAAATGGTTACTACAAATCTTGATTAGGAAAACTATTTTTTTTAATTAAATTTTACCATAACGTTAGTGATAATAACCTCATATGCATATTATTAGCATTTTACTAGCATTTTACTACAAAAAATTGATTAACGCAAAAAATAACAAAAATTTTTGTTAAATCAACTATTTTTCTCTCTTTCTCAGTGTATGATTTCGAAACGCATCGAAAAAAGATTGACCTGAACATTCCGTTGGCGGACGTACACGAAATTCACGAACGTATTTACGAAATGTTAGAAATCCTCAGAGTTAGGACACCGTTCACCATCTGGAAATGAATGAGAGAGAAGCTGCAGCGTACTTCGTCATATTTCAGTCTTAGAGCTTCTCTTTCAGTCCTACTAGAGTTTCTCTCTCACACCTACTCATGTCATCCTTTAAAAATAGCGAACAGGATGCGGACCAATCAGGAATTATCATGCTTTCTCCTAACTCTGATTAGAGGAATTCAGGTTATTATTTTTATACGATTTAATAGCGAGTCAGTAAAAATGAGGAAATTAATATCGCATAATAGGTTAATGGCGCAAATATCAACAGTCATGCGCCAGTCCGTGTCATGTTGTACAGTTTGAAAAACAGCGTGTCCCGGCGATTTGTCGCGCCGCACTGTCTCCTTGCCATTTCCTTTGCCATCCGATAGCGTCGTCCGTTTGTCCTTCGCCGACGTTTCTTTGTCGACGGAGACTGATGGAATGGGTAGGTACGGAAGATATCGTGACTGAAATTCGTTCTGGAATGTTGACCTCCTCCCAGGCGGGACGTAACCCGGCGACTTGCGTTGAGACACGGAGACGCTGACACTGGCGTCAGTCTGCTTCGACAGACGACCGCTCAATGTTAACGGATTTCCTTCCACCTTCGTACTTATCTGCGTACTTTTACCCTTACTATTATCGTATTCAAATCTTCGCTATTATCTGATCTAAAAACCCACTCATCGTCTCTCTCATGATATCGAGAAATTGGATCTGTATGTATAATTGTTGAACTATTTTTTATAAAAACATGAGTATAATTCGGTTATATCTTGTAATAACAATGTTTTCCCTTCGTTACACCTCCGCATACAATATAGGATCTGTCCGAACAAATATTTGATCGCTCACAAACTTTCATAAAGTGTTTTTCACTTATAATCGTTTATATTTTTATTATTTGCTGCTTCTTATTTCTGATCTCACTATATATATTATTGTGTCACTAAAAAGGGTTATTCCGTTAATAAATGATGATTATAAATATTTTCGCGGTATTTGTAGTAAAACCGAATCTCATCATGTATCCTCCTGTCCTTCACACTTGTTGACGCACAATTTTTGAATTATTATTATTGCAGTTAAAAATCTACTAATTTATTTCATTAGTAGTCTTAACACTCCAGAAACTTATAAATAACTTAGTAAATTATATTTATGAGGAAAATCGACTCATAACTCTGCGATACGTCGTGACCATTTACATTACAAAATAGGTGCACGGAAGGTTAAATGAAATCCCAGTGGGAATCTGGCCGCCGATATCAAATTCTCTTCCTCTCTGATCGAATAAAATAAAAACAATATTTTATTCATCATATAAGAGCTCAACGCGATAATTACGAATAAACGGGAAAGGTCATAACGGTACATTTAAATCCCGCTCGCGGGTCATTATTCATTCCGATAGCGCGATGAGAATTTCGACTCGAATTCGAGTCAGGCGAGTTTTTCGTGCATGCTTTGACTCTGCCGGCGAGGCGCCGCCGCCACGCGTGATAAAACAAGCCGCCACGAGTCAGCGCCGCGCTACTTGCCGACCGTAGCGCCTTCGCCCGTGGCGCGGCCATGTTTGACAGTCTACTTTGTGTGTTTAGTATGCTGTGGTCGGTGTATCGGCGCGCCAAGACGAGACGGTCGGGACGGGACGAGCGGCCGTGAGGGAAGCGAGACGCACAAGTGGGAGAAGTTGTCGGCGCGGTGGGGCGGTCGGTGAAGAGGGCGACAGCAGCGGCGGTGGAAATCGGTGAGCACGCTCGTACGGAGAGACCTCGTGCGTGCCAGTCGCGTTGCCGAGCAAAGCCAAGTCGGAGTTGTCGCGCCGTGGTCAGTCGCGCGCAACAGTTCGTCCCGCGACGAACGTCGGTTATTCGATTCGCGTGAAACGATACTACACGAGTAGCTGCTGGAAGGGGAAGCAGAAGAAGAAGAAGAGGGTAACACGAGCGATGAACGACGTAGATAGAAAGAAACGGTAATAGTAAGAACAGTAACGTTTTCGTCTCGAAGACATTGACGTCGCTCGTCGGCACCGCGTGAGCGAAGTGCCGCTCTCTCTCGCACGCACGTACGTACATACGTGCGTACGTACGTACGTACGTACGACCTCCCTCGCCCTCCGTCGAGAGTTACACATCCGATCTCGGCCCGGTGCGCCGGTCTCTCCCACTATCTCTCCGTTGCGTTGTACCCTTCCCCGCTGCCGTTCTCTGGGATCGCTCGCTCTCTTGTTCTCTCTCTCTCTCTCGCTCCTCGCCAGTGAGAGCACCGCACCGGTGTATAGCTCTCGCGCTCTCTCCATCCGACCGAGCGATTTCAAGAATGTGACAGTGCGCCGCGTCCTCGCGGTCGGTCGGGTGGTTCGCGCGACGAACGAGTTTTCGCAAGCGGTAGTAGCAGCGGAGCGGCCGACGCGGCGGCGATGGGTGCCGAGGATCGGTCACGGTGAAAGAGAAGGAACAGCGTGATAGAAACGGTGATAGAAGAGATAGCAGAGAAGAAGGGAAAGAAGGACAGACGATGCAAGCGGAAAATGTCACTCGGTGATACGCGCGCACGGATGACGGGGAGTAATCAACGGAGCGACGATCGCGAGTCCGAGGTTGTTAGAAGAGTGTCGTCGCGGCGGCGGTGGTGGTGGTGGCGGCGATCTTCGTCGTCGTCGTCGTCGTCGCCGTTGTGGTCGTCGTCATCGTCGCTACGCGGTGCCGGCGCGTTGCCGGCATTGACGACGGCACGAGCGCGGGATCACCGGGAACGGGAGCGACGTTATCGCGTTCTGTCGGGTCCGAGGTCGGGCTACCACTACTACTACTACTACTACACCTACTCCACGGCAACGTTGTCGCCGTCATCGCGCTCATCGTTGTCGTCGCAGCAGCAACAGCAGCAGCAGCAGCAGCAGCTGACGAGAGTCGCGAGTTCCTGAAGGGGATCAGCGGCGCCGCCGCGGGGAGATTTTCGCGGCGCGACGTCGCCGGTGTATATATACACACACGCGTCCACATTGCCTTACGTGCATCACGTATACATACGTCCGTCCATCTGTACGTGTACGTTGTGTGTTGGTGTCGGGTCGCGAGGTTAAGGCACCGCGCGTCGCCCTCGATACCGCGACGGCCGAGGAAAGTAAAGGCCGGGTGTCGTGCGTGCGCCGACCGATTCGTTTCGTGCCTACCCCCGCCCCATCCCCTTCCCCCCCCCTCCGTCTCTCCTCACCCTCGTCTCATCGTACGACTCGTCTTTCTCTCTCCCGTACGTGTAACGGATAAGAAGTGTACGACGACGACGATATACTAGTAGCAGTGCGCGTCCGCCGTCAGTAACCTCGACGGTGACCGTTGCACTGTGTGTACGTGCGTGCGTGCGTGCGTGCGTATGTACGTACGATCGTCCGTCCATTCGCTTCGCTCGCTCGCTCGCTCGCTCGTCGATTCGCGCGCGCGTGGTGTATGCTATACGTCGTCGTCGTCCGCGCTGTGGCCGACGACGTGCGACGACTGGCGTCTGCGAGTCGCCGTCGCCGCAATGCCGACAGTCGTTCGCGCTCACGGACGACGTGCGGATTGTTTGTGTCGACGACAACGAGGATTATTGCGTCGGCTACAATAAAGCGAAACGAACGAGTGGTACGACAATTGTCGCCAGACCGTGCGACGTTAACGGAACCCGAAGATAATTTGGGAAAATACGAACGTGTACTTGCAGAAGTTGGTCGGAGTTTAATACATCACGAGACGCGACACGCTGGCGGGTCTAAGTCGGGACTCGAAAGAAAGAAAGGAAGGAAGAAGACAACTGTCAGCAATTGGTCAGCCGAGAGGCACGTAAATGAGAGTTCAAGGTCTACCGGTAGTGGTGGTGGTGTTGGACCAGAACACGTTCACGCGATCGAGAAACTTACTCGACGAACAGAAAGCGAACGGGATCGACGCACGTTCCTCTTGTTCGTCTCGTCGTCGTCGTCGTCGTTCTCGTTGGAAGTCGGAAATATTCCCGGCTGGGAGACGCGCCGCACACCGCTCCGTAACTACCGCGAGCCGCCGGCTGGGGAGAGCAGGGCAGAGAAAGAGGAAGAAGGAGAGAGGAGAATTCGCGAGGAAACGCGAAACGACGACGGAGCTCTCTGCTGCGTCGCGGTGGACTGTCATACTATTTCGGGACCGTGATCCAAAGTGCGCGCGAGATACGCGCGAGCATAAATAAATATACACGCTTGCGCGACTGTGTGTGTATATATGTGTGTGTGTGTGCGTGGTACGTGCTCCACTGTCTGTGATTCCCCTGTTTTCGCGTGTGCACACGTCCTTGCGGGAGAAAAAAGTGTTTTCGGTTGACAGTGCGTACTTGGTGTTTGTTGAAAAGAAGAAAGAGATCTAGCGGAGAAAGAGAAAGAGGAAGAGGAAGAAGGTGGTCGCGGCGCGGTGGGCTACGGCCCCGAAACATCCGAGAGCATCGACAGGATCGCTCCAACGACCGCGTGCGTGTGTGTGGTCTGGCCCTCCATCCTCACCGCCCCTCCATTCCCTCGTCAGTCCTCCTCCTTCCTTTGTTTTCCTAGGCGGCAACGTTGAAAAGGACTGGCCACCAAATGCACGTACCGCAAATCTTGTTTCATGTTCATGTTCTGGAGCAAACGGACGGTGCTCACTAAACGTCTGCTAAAGGCCAAGGTCCGTGGGGAGCATGAAACCGAGTGTGAAGCTCAAGAGGACTCGTCACGTATTCATCGCACTAGCAACACGAGCGGCGTTGCCGGCGGTTACGATACGAGCAGCAACAACAACAATAACAACAACAACAACAACAACAACAACGCGACGGCGGGTCGAGTGAGCCGGAGGAGCGCGGCGCGAGGAGCAGTAGGAGGAGCAGCGGCGGCGACGGCAGCAGCGTTGTCAACGCACACGGGATACGGCCGCATCACGACGACTACGACTACGACGACGACGACGACGACGACGACCACGTCGTCGAGCAGGCTCCATCAAGGCTGCTGCGGCGGCGATTCAAGCCAAGATGACGACGAGGATCCCAGCCGATTGATGAGGTGCAAGGAGCTCCTCAAAACGCTCAAGGAGAATCAGCTGGAAATGCTGTTGAGCGCCGTCGAGAGCTACGGCGCCGATCTCGGCTCGTGCGTCCTCGTGCCGCGTCAACAACGAACCGACGATCATCACCGCTCGTACGATCAGCAACACGAGCAACAGCAGCAATACGGCGGCAGACCGCATCGCCATCATCCCCGTCATTTCCATAATCAGCGTTATCGTCATTATCGCCACCACCGCTCCCGGCATCATCGCTCATCCTCCATCGAGGACGAGCAGGAGAGCTGCTCCGAGGAGTCCACGTCGCCGATGAGGTCGGCGGACGAGAGGTACTGCGGGAAAACGGCGGGCAGCGGCGTCGTCGTGCCAGTGAGAGGAGGAGGAGGAGGAGGAGGATCGTCGGCGGCTGAGAGCAGCGCACCGAGCGACCCGCACCTGCTCTGCTGCCAGATCTGGCGATGGCCGGATCTCGAGCACTCTTCGGAGCTCAAGAGACTTCCTATCTGTCATTCCGCTAAAGACCCCGTATACATATGCTGCAACCCTTACCACTGGAGCCGGCTTTGCAAACCTGGTGAGTAGAAATCTTCTTAATATATTCTTCGATCGAGAGGTAAGTAGCCGTGAACGAACATCTCGGCTTGCGAATTATGTAACGGCCGCGCTAATATCCTGAACGTTGTACGCCAAAACTCACCGGCGGTCTACCACTCGATCGAATTATCGATAATGCTCGCGGTATTCTCAAGTGGCTAAATACGTAGCGTCATTGTTTTCATTTTATCATGCTCAAAAGAAATTCAACTCTCTAAATTTTGTTTTGCTATCACTTACTAAGATTAAAAATTTCATTTTTAAAATAGAATAAAATCTTTGTTTAGCGGGAGTACTTTTTATTTATTTATTTTATATATTTACATCTTATTTAGAGATTTACGGGAAAACATCTTCTTTTCATACAAATATATACACTAAAGAAAATAACAAAGACAATTTATGATAAGTTGTGACAAGTAATCTACAAGTTCGATGCTTTGGTGCCGTAATGCAAATATAACTTAAAGGTCATTAAGGATATAAAGATCGCATGTATAAAATCGCAAGGCATAACACAAAAAAAGCAGATTTTTATGATTGAATCGTAGCAAACCTGAACTCTTTCATTCGAAAAGCAAACGAAAGGATGAAATCACGCGGAATAACCTCTGACAGATATTAACTAAGGAGAAAAATGGTGGATAATTAAGATTTCCGACAATCAAATTAAAAAGGAATACAATTAAATCATCAGATACATATTTCCAGAACGTAAGACAACAGAGAATGAATATTTCATAAATATAACTTCTCTGTTGGTAGATGTTTGATTCAAAATTCTTTAGTTTTCACCGATGCATTGCTCAGTGATTAAACACGAATTTAAATGTGCCGAAAATACACAAAGAATCGGGGACACGTTGTGTGCAACGGTGCTATTTAACGTTGTCGGACGTGTGTCTAGCCGTTGACACCAGCATAATTTAACGTCGTGTACAGCTGGCATTGTAACGGCAGTAAACCGCAAGTCGAACGCTAATCGTCACCTGCCCGCGCGCGTCTCGCTCAGTGCTAACGAGCCTAAAGACTTGGACCGATGTAAAACGGTAATTTATTACCAATAGACGCGAGGATTAGCCCGGCGTCTTCTACCTTGTTATGTTCGAAATATAGTCAGGCAATATACATTCCCGAAGAGTCCTGAGGTGTGTCGAGTGTCAATACCGACAATCTTCTAGTAACGCGAAAGCCGAGAAGCCGCCAAGCGGCGGAGACATGTGTTATTTGCACAAAAAAAACAAATCTCGCTCCTTGAATTTTAACAGGCACAATTTCACGATATTCGCATCGATTACTCGCACGCGCACGCGTCGAGTATTATTACCTACACAAGGTTCTCATGACATTAACATTAGAGTTTCGTAAAAAACATCGATGGATGCTCATCGATACATTAGTGTTTTTTCATCAATGTAACGTCGTATGATGCATCGATATTTTTCTCTTTACACATAAAGAAAAATGTCCAGTAGTCGACACTCTTGTTGCGGCGTTCGCGTTTTCGGTATTCTTGCGTGAATTTTATCAAATACTAAGGTGTATTAGAATTTATTGGAATATAAATATTACGTCTCGCTCTCTCTGTCATCATCGATATCAAATATTGATGTCATTCTTACCAATATGGGATTCTATACTTTATATGTAGAACAATACAACTCTTAATTGGACTCGGGACGTCACATGCATTCGACGCGCGTTCGATCCCTCTCTTTAGAAGCAACAGGGAGCATACAGTAGCTATAGACTTTCAAATGACACATCGGCACCTTTTCCCATTCTGAATGCGCTTTCAGAACTTTGAATCATGGTCAGGTATAATCCAGGTTCTCAATAGATCACTTGTGGAGAGTCACTTGTTTACAAACTCGGTTGCCTATTGTTTTCTTCATTCTTTTGTCGACTTGAAACTCACTATTATTGAGAAATTCGAAATACAAAGAAACTAGTCCCATTTAACACGGGAACTCATTGACCTAACCATTTGGGACATTTAAACGTTTCTAAATATTATGTATACGAAAGAAAAAAATACTAGTGCTTTCCTTTCTTTCTTTTCTTTTATTTTACGATAGATCACGGAAATTGCACATATGCTGCAAAAAAAATATATATACACGTGTATAAAAACGACTTATCTTGTAAAAAATATATATATAATTTTATTGAATTTTTTAATCAATTTCATTCAACTTTTTAATTAGAACCTCTCACCGGCAATGCCCCTTACACGATTAAAAATTCTTTGAATTTCATATAAAAAATAAAAAATATTTGACTCCAACTAAATGACATTCTCCTAAGCTTCAATGTATTATCCTTATTCATTCAGGTACCAATCCCAGATACTATCGTTTGTCAATTTCGAGAGAAATTCGTATTCATAGAATATCTAGAATTAACTTATCTTTCTAGTTTTGAAACTATCCTCCGAGTTCGATATCTGTCTTGCATTCGACGACGTGACTTCGAATGTAAAAAAGCGTCGCGTCCTATAAAGCGCAAACGAGCGAGCAGGCGCCAGCAAAACGCGCCTTTACGTAACCCCAGTGATCGTTTAACCCGCCATGAGAGGCCCGTCGAACGCGAATTCGATCGCGCGAACCGCCGGCGCGCAGTGTTTTAACGTCCGTCACGCGTATGCGAGGTGTATGAAGTCAAATTGAAGAAAATTGCACCGTTACAATTTATAGCATATTTCGACAAGACTACTTATTTGTTTATTTAAATAGTTTAATATTTAAATAATTTAGTGCTTTAGTCCTTACAATTTCCGGGAAGCCACTGTAGTAGCGCAACGGTTAATTTTATACTTTTTATCAATATACTCTTTAACATATATACGAAAAAATTCGAAAACAGTAAAAGTCGCTCAAAAACTGTTTGGGCTGTAAGAGCTAATAGATTTTAGTTATTTGGTAATTCAGATAGTTTTATTTTTGTTAATATTTGTGAAAGATATCGATTTTTATTTGGGGAGCATAATATAACTGGTAAAAACCTGGTTATTATCTGGTTAAATGACACATGCATGAGATATATTTGAGTGCTCATCAGAATTCACCAGTGAAATCGGGTTTCGAAATTGTGTCGAAGTATTCGGAATTATTTAACGTCGGAAATGATCTGACGCGACAAATTTACGTCTCTTCTTTAATTAATTTTAATTCGACGCGACATATACAAATATTACATTAAAGATCCGAACGTTATACGTGCACGCACACACACTTTTTACAAATATGGAGGAAACTTGATGTGCATAATAAATAGTCGATAACAAGTTTGACCCGTATGAAATTAACGAGCATTAGGCGGCGCCGAATGTACGCCCCAGCCGTACGGATAAATATTTATTTCTCAGATAAGAGATCCATTCTCGTAAGCCTCCTTAATTGAGCCGATAAATAATGCCGGTTAATTACGTCGCACGGACGCGCGCGCTTCGGCGAGGATGTTGGCGATGTTTCTGCGACGGATTATAGAGAGTTCATGTCGCACGTCGGTGTCGCGATAAATCGAACGCGTGCGAGTTCGCAGGCACGACTGGGTGAAGAAGCAAGATTTCGCTGTTGCTGCTGCATGTTTAAACATTTAATGCGATAAAATTATAAAATCGCGGTCGAGCAAAAAGTGAATATCGACATACGTGTCGCGATCGTTCAAGGGATTGAAGACGTTCTTTTTTGTATTTTCTTTTTTTATTTTTTAATCTAATTGCTGCGCAAGAGAAATATGACCTCTCGTGCGACGCTCGTGACGCGACCATTTACGCGAGAGAGCGCCCACCGGCGCCGTCGGAGTCGCCTAATCGTGCGACGACGCGCGATTCGTCACAGTCGAGCGCGCCGTGGTGCGCGATTTATCGATAACACCGAGCGTTATATTGCTGGAAAATCGTATCAGACAGGCGCGACCGAATCCGACACACCTCCGGTGGAGGAAACAAAAATCACGATGCGATTTTGTTCCCTCGGAGATAAAGTCACGGTGGAAATGAGTGCATTTCGTAATTAGCAGCGAGCGACGCGGACGAAATAACGAGAGATACCTCGAATTCCGCGCTGAGGTTTCCACACCTAATAATAGAGCACGCTCGCACCGCGAGTTATTTGCGTGCCGAAAAAGCCGAAGCATTTAGGGAAAGAGCGGCGAGGGAAAGCGAAAGAGATAGATGCTTTATTTATTAAGCGCTCTGGGACATAGTCTTTTTAAGTGCCAACAAAAATACAATTGATGAAAAACCAAATTGATGAGAAACATATTTACAAAATAATATAATACAATGATAAGGAAAAAGTATATATTTATGCATAAATCTATATGACATAGTAATTGCACTGAATCTTGTACGTATATATACCTTTTTATATATTTTATACATATATAGAAAGAAAGAGAGAGAAACATCATTTTTTTTATTAGGCATTGTAAGACTAGATCCTTCCCAGTACAAAGAAAAAGTACTCATAAAAGATGAGAGAGAGAAAGCGCACTGACCATATGAAGCATAGAGACATTCCGACCACATTTAAAAAAAAAGACCGAATTCTGGGGGTTGGAAAAAACTTGGAGAATAAAGCGACGTACGTTAGAAAAATGAAAAAAGAACTAAAGCGAGAGCGGGGTAAGACAACGAGACGGGGAAAGAGATAGGTAACCTGGCGCTTACCAATAGCCGCGCAATCAAAGTTATAGCCACAGAAGGAAATGAATCTAAAAATAAAACGTATATTGGGCGAGTCAGTCGCGGCTGGCGGAAAGACGATGACGCGAGAGTGGGAAGGGTTGGTCGACCGGCAACGGCGGCAACGACGACGACGAGAGGTAAAGAGAGAAAGAACGAGCGACGCGACGGACAGACGAACGAACAAACGGAGAAAGAGCGAAGCGAGCTTCGCGGACGAGCGCGACGGCAAGAGGGAGCGGGTGGCAGACTGAGGACGGGGCGCCGGTCGTCGAGCATGTGCGGTTAGG